CACCTATATTCTGAGCCATACACTTGCATTCTGTGTCATACACTAGCATTCTGTTCCATGCTCTTGCATTCTGAGCCATAGACATATGCATTCTGTGTCATACACTTGCATTCTGAGCCATGCACATACATTCTGAGCCATACACTTGCATTCTGAGCCATTCACTAGCATTCTGCACCATACACCTGCATTCTAAGCCATTCACTTACATCCTGGGCCATACACTTGCATTCTGAGCCATACCCTTGCATTTTGAGCCATACTCTTGCATTCTGAGCCATTCACTTGCATTCCTAGCCATACAGTTACATTCTGAGTCATAAATTTGCATTCTGAGCCATAAATTTGCATTCTGAGCCACGCACTTGCATTCTGAGCAATTCACTAGCATTCTGAGCCATTCACTTGCATTCTGAGCCATACACTTGCATTCTGAGCCATACACTTGCATTCTGATACAATATGACAGTGTCATGTCTCTCTCCTGACACATTTTACATTAAGCGGAAATTGTTGACCTTATCTTCTTCCACCTTTGCTCAGTTTGTCCACAACGCCTGATCAGCTGTTAATAATAATCCCTCAATCGCTTTCTTCAAATACCGTTTTTTGATTCATGTTCACCTTTGCGTTATCTACTCTTGTCTCCATTGTGTTCCATTCGTGAATGTACTTTTTTATAGTCAATTCAATCTTTATTTCTTCAGAGTTAGGATTTTCACCAAGTATTCTTTCCATTTTTTTACCTCACGTAACATTTCGTTTCTATTGTTAATATAAAGACAAAAACTGTTTCTCAACACATCAGACACTTTTACACTTCCTCGTCTACGTATTGCCGTGGCTTCTGTATATGGTCATCTTTTTTAGCGTTTTTCTCTCTAGGTTTTCGCAGATCATCTTGGTTTCAATGACTCCAATCAATGACTCTAATTCATAAACAATTGACGCAACGTAGAAATTATTATTATTATTTTTATTTTCTTTGATTTCTGGCGGGACCTAAGGTTAGAAATGGCGTCATGACACTTTCCACTGACAAAAAAAAAATTAAATTACATAGATAAAGCCCTTCGTAAGGTGTGGGCTGTACTTGTCAGAACAATTTTTTGTATCTCCTTGAGGCATGGACTTCCAGGAATCCCTTCAATTAGTCTACTGCAATGTTTTCCAACCAATCCTAGGGCTCCAACTACAACAGGGATTGTTGATGTTTCCATATGCCACATTTTCGAGATTTCTATTTCAAGGTCCTTGTACTTTGACAACTTTTTGAATATCTTCAAAGATACATTGCAGTCAGCAGGGACTGCCATATCAATAAGGAGGCATCGTTTTTGCTTGTGGTCTTTAATAACAATATCTGGGCGGTTGGCCTTGATTGTTCTGTCAGTGTGTATTGTGTAGTCCCATAGAATTGTAACAGATCCTATCTCCGTAACCGGGTCTGGGTGGTGTTCATACCAGTTTCTTTCAGTTTCCTTCCCGTAGAAGTTGCAGATTTTCCAGTGCAGATATTGGCCCACTCTGTCATGTCGGGTTTTATATTCATTTGATGCCAACACCGTACAACCTGATACAAGATGATCAATCGTTTCTGGATATTTATCACAGAATCTGCATTTGGGGCTGACACAATGTTTTAGTATATGTGCATGATAATTCCTAGTTAGCAAGCATTGGTCCTGCGCAGCAAGGATAAAACCTTCAGTTTCCGCTTTCAACCCTGCACTACGTAGCCACTGATGGGTACGGGTTTTGTCTACGTCAGCTTGTTTGGTACGGGCAGAGTATTGGCCATGAAGCGGTTTATCTTGCCATCGCTTCTGTAACTGGTCGGTTGCATTCGTCTTTCTTCTTCTTCTTCTTCTACTACTACTACTATTACTTCTTCTTCTTCTTCTTTTTCTTCTTTTTTTCTTCTTCTTCTTCTTCTACTACTACTACTACTACTACTGCTTCTTCGTCATCGTCTTCTTCTTTGTCGCTGTCGTCGTATTTCTTCTTCTTCTTTTGCAAAATTTTCCCTTCTTTCGCTTCAAACTATCCATCTTTCACATTTCCGCATCTTCCCAACCTTGTCCAGCATCCATGATTGATTAACCACCGCTAAAATGAGCCAAGGCGAAGGAAACGAGACAAGTGGATTGAAGGCGAATCATTTGAGACGAGCATCGAAATGAATCTCCTGTTGGCCTTTGTGTTACAATTGCAGTGATTCTAAATTGTATGGTGATTAAGAGAAGGTGGTTGGGTAGTGCCGATGATTTGACTCGATTGGAAAATATCTGATCCTCGAATTTCTATATTTCTCCCTCGACGTTTTTTTTTTCTGCAACAGAACAATGAGATTCATATGCGTCTACAATTCTTTTATTTTTATCCTCCCTTTCTCCCTCCATTTCTTTCATTTACTCTCCCCTCTACCTGCCTCCCACTTTCTACTCTCTTCTCCTAATTTTCCCCTCTCTTTCTTTACCCCATTCTCTCTTTACTCTCTAACTTATAAGCTATAGATACAAATCCTCCTTAAACAAATCACTTTCTCCCAACTTGCAGCAATAGTCTGAAAAATGTATATAGTGTCTACTACAGCCGTTGCCAACCTTTTCAGTATTTTTTCTTTATCATTTGCGAATTGCTATGCTATTCTTAAGAAAGAGAGTAAAGTCGTTTCTCGTTGCCTTTTTCCACAATTTGGAATTTCGAGTTTTCTATTACTTAAACTGATTGTCATCTAAGGCTAGAGAACTGAGTCTACATTGTTATTTACCTCATAGCTGAGGAAGAAAGCAGATTTATGTATTTCCAAAATTGAACGCAACAGAATTTGAACCCAAAACGCTGATTCCACTTTCGACGTTGATGTCCATTACATTTCTCTCTATTTACACTATATACATTTTTCAGACTATTGTGCTCATCACGACGTTTCAACCGTTATACGTTCCTTTCTTCAGGTGATTAGAATTTCGAACTGAATTCTTATTTCGTCCACCGGGGTAGATTTTCTAGATCCACGTACCATGCCTCTTCTTTTAACTCACCTCTCCAAGTTTTTGATCACCACTGCAGTAGCCAGGTATTGAAGTCAAGTCACTGGATCTAATCAACATTTTTATCCAATCGCCATGCATCCTTGACATCAGTGAATGAACTTTTAGTACTTATAAACTAAATGACTCAGTAATCATGTTTTACCAGAGCTCATATTGCAATTTTGTTGTTATTGCTTTTCTCTAGCACTCTGTATTACTGGTTCCTATATTGTATTCATTTCTATGCTTGGTCGGCTCAGAAGATTTTTGTGATGTTCACTGGTTATTATTTCAACCTCACCCCACAGCAGACGGTGATCACTCTTTTCCCGCCATATGTGGTCAGCTACGCCTGATTTTTCTATTTCCCCTCGTGCTACGGCTTTACAACGTTCTTGCAGTCTTACGTTAAGGGGGTGGCCTGTTTCTACTTTATATTTATTACCACATCTGCAGACGATGGCGTACATACAGTTCTTAGTCATGTTCTTTTCCATAGGGGTGGGAGTTTTACTCGGAAGAGGTATCTGCGAAGTGTCGAACCACTTTTGAATATCGTCCTGGTGTTATATAGATTACAGATCTTTTTCCCCCATAGGGTAGGCATGCCAAATCTGTTTTCTGAGTGATGTTATCCTCTTTTATTCTTCATATTCCAGTTTTTCGAAGCTGCTGCCATGTACCCAGGATAGTTGTTACGTTGTAGGGTACTGCTTATACTGACCATTTTTTGTTCATATGTCATAAGTGGCGACACAGAGACATATGAACAGGAAATGGTCATTATAGACAGTACATTACAAAGTTTGAGAATTGTATGCCTTTCGTCATGTTTGTTCAAAACCTGTTTTTTTCTCTGTTATATATGAAACGGAAACTTATTCAAAACAATTCCGCCCCTTTCATTACATAAATATTGAAAACATTGTTAAAACTCAATAATTACTTGACTTTTGATATGATTTTTTAAAAAAACGGATTATTTTTCATTATGTTTTGATTTGTTATCTGGTAAAGTACTTTTCACACTATCACTTTTCACGTTTTCGTTCTTCAGTTCTACAGAGTGTACACAATATTTACATCAGAGTTTTTTCCACTCTTTTTCATATTAATGACACAAAGATTTTGTTGATGAAATTTACTTTCAAGCATTTTTTTTTCTCAGGTATTTTTCTATCTTCCGATATAAAAAATATTTAGAAAGTATTTACACTGAATTCGACATTTTATGTTTCTAGAGAAGGTTTAAAAGCGTACGGAAGGGATTTGCGTCCAACATTCTGAAGCGATAAATTATCAACGTTTACATTAATAAGAGATCAAGTGGATTAACGCACTGATTCTTGAATTTGGCGACATTGCAAGTGTGAATTCAAACCCTGGAGTGGTTAGCAAAGTCTTAGACTTACTGGAAGCAGGGCGAGCAATGAATAAGTGGAATAAGTGATAACCTTTGAGATGGACAGCGAAACGAAGACAATTTATCCCCGTAGAATAAATAAGCGGTTCAGATCGAAATTACCAGAAGATGACCCGAAGAGACAGAGGGAACAACGGCTGACACGTGATAATAACAACAAAGACGAGGACATTGGTATGAATAGAAATTATATGCAGAAAGATGTTTGTAGACTATATACAAAGAGCAATCATTTTATTTTAGGCATTTTGGCACCCGCGGGTTGCGGAGCTGAAATTTATGTGCTGCGGATATTAAGGAACCTTCTCCATTGCAACGAAGCCTATTTCTGTTGCTTTGTTCTGATATTTATTAAATTGGATTCTACCGCTTCCTTCTCCTGTTCAGACATTTTTGTACATCATAAGCGAATTCCTTCCCAATTCCTCTACTCACCCAATCAAAGTGTCTAGACTGAATTCATGACTCATGTCAATTCAACAACGGTCAGTTTGAAGGGACGGGCTAGAGGAGTAAAAAGGGCCCTTCTATTGGCACGCATGCTTCAATGCAAAGGAGACAGGGGCCGCCAATTTGCCCTACCACTTCACTCGACTCTGTGATGCATCCCTATTATAGACACGGGCGCACACCCGCTTTTTATGCACGGATGTGCATAATCATGCACGCATACTGCAGACAGTCACGAAGAGAAGGAGGTGCACTGACGGCGGTGCATTGATATTCATGGAGATGCATTTATTATTGGTTCAGTGTGGAACAACATATAAATAGACGGCCAATTTAAAGTTAATTCCATGAAAAACCATTCAGTGTTATTATGGGTTTTATATAGAAAAGCATTCAACTGTATAACGCGTTGTTTTAAGAATTAAACATTTCCTTTGCATGTAAACGTCAAGAAACTTACTTCCAAACATCAATTAACCAATCACGGATATAGATTATCAGTTGTCTTTGACAGTCGCCTTTGTGTATTTAGTAATCGAACAAGCATCATAGATTTGATTATCTATCTATCTATCTATCTATCTATCTATCTATCTATCTATCTATTCTGTCTTAGCCTGTCTCAGTCAGTCAGGTCTATCTATCGATTGATCGATCTGATTCAGTCTTTATCGATCTATCCCACTTTTTATATTTGTCTGTCTGTTTGTCAATCTATCTATGCTGCGTCAGTCTGTCTCAGTCTGTCCAGTCTATCTCAGCCTATCTCTCTCTCTCTCTCTCTCTCTCTCTCTCTCTCTCTCTCTCTATCTATCTATCTATCTTTTATAGTCTTTCTATCAATCTATGTATCTATGAATCTATCTGTATCACTTTTTTCTGTCTATCTATCTAGCTATATGTTTCACTCTTTATCTATCTATCTGTCTATCTATTTATCTATGTCAGTTTTTTCTGTCTATCTATTTCAATCTGTTCATATCTATCTATCTATCTATCTATCTATCTATCTATCTATGCAGTCTCAGTCTGTCTAGTCTATGTCAGCCTCTTTCTGCCTGTTTAGATCTATATCAATATTTATCTATCTATCTATCTATCTATCTATATATATATATATATATATATATATATATATATATATATATACCAGATAACAAAATCCGTGGTTAAGTAATCCAAGTAGATCCTAATAATATAAAATATTAAAACTGATCCACAAAAGAGACCTCAGTATAATTTTTATTATAGAGTATATAAGTGAATTACAATTCATGAGATCCAAACGAATTACCTAATACCGATAAATCATTTCGTCCATAGGAAGGTAGTTTTTTTTCCCAGGACTTATCAATGCAAATATATTTACTGAAATGAATAAACCGTTTCTTCAGAGGAAATTTGAAAAGCAAAGGAAGGAAAGAAGGGAAAAAGGAAAGAATAAAAAGAGAGCAATTAAGAATTGGCCTAAAATAGAGGAGGGTGTTATATAGATAAAGAAGGTTAAAGGACCTAAGGTGGTTGTGGTGGAGTCGGGTACAGATAAATGCAACGGTTGAAAATGGACACTGGCATAAATGTAAACTGTCAACCCCTTTGTAAGGAAGAAGAATGAACCTAAGAAAGGCTATGGAACACTTATTATAGAATGGGAGTAAGATTTTAAAATTAATACTTTTTTTCAAAAAAAAGATGTGCATATTAATCCATCCAATACTACCCCTTTAACTATATAGTAAAAATTACAGTAAAGAAATTTAAGTAAAATATTAATAATTGAAGTTTTTTTTATTGTAACTTTTATTATATAGTTAAAGTTGAATGGATTAATATTAACATCTTACTTTTTAAAATATTAATTTTAAATTCTTACTCCCATACTATAATAATTTCAAGCTCGTCTCTAAAATGTTTCATAGTCTTTTTGTTCATTCTTCTTCCTTGCACAGGTATTGACAGTTTACATTTATGTCAGTGTCCATTTTCACACGTTGCGTTTATCTTTATCTCCACCACAACCACATTAGATCCCCTAACATTCGTCATCTATATAACTCCCTCCTCTATTTTAGGCCAATTCGTACTCCCTCTCTTTTTATTCTTTCCTTTTTCTTTTTTCCTTCTTTCTTATCTTTGTCTTCCAAATTTCCTGTGAAGTAACGGTTTATACATTTTAGTAAATGTATTTGTATCGATAAGTCCAGCGAAAAACTACTTTCCCATGGACAAAATGATCATCTGTATGAGGTAAATTGTTTGGATCTCATTAATTACAATTTACACACATACACACACACACACACACACACACATCTCACGCACACGCACACACACACACACTCATAAATATATGTGTCTGTGTGTGTATCAGCCTGCCTCAGTATGTCCATATCTATCTATCTAGTCTCAATTGGCCCATATTTATGTATCTAGCCATCTATCAGTTTCCGTATCTATCTATCTATCTATCTATCTATCTATCTATCTATCTTGTTCGGCACTTTCAAAACATCATTATTCATTCAACATATCCTACTTATTCACTCATCGAAATATTTTCCCCGCTTTACGTTTCTTGTCAACTAACGAGTATATTCCATCATAAAAGAATTATCCTGTTTTTTTCTCGATTTGTTCTTTGAAAAGCATTTATATTTTCAGTTTTTACAAGGAATAATACTTGACTTAATAAGACAAATAACATTTGAAAAACCGCAATTCTGAAAGATCCACTGGCCGAACGAAGAATTTCCCATGCCAGTTTTATTACGGCTTACCGCTCGACTTCCTTCCCCAGAATAGAACCACACAATCCAATGAATCATTCAAGTGAACCAAATGGATACGGTTTCACTGTGCACTAATAGTTTGTCAAGGTTTCAACAATTTATGATGACGGCTTCAATTTGGACTTTTACCAAACAAGAAAGAAATTTACCCCGCTTCAATTGATATTCTTTTCTCTTTGAGTGGAAGTCCTATCCTCCATTTAACAGTGATTTTCTGCGCTTTGTGTTCTTAGAATAAATCCATTTTTCCTGGCCAGTGAATTTTTACCAAACAAGAAGGAAAAGACAAAAATCGTTAACGGTGACCAGTGTTTGGCACTGGAACGTACCTTCCAATCTTCTTGATTGTAAACCAAGTAAAAAGCGGAGTCACCTTTAAAAAAAACCTTCAGCATGTAAACTAAATTTCCTGCCCATATATTTTTGCCTAGCAGCTTTACAGTAGGTTTTGTTTATTACAAACTCTTAATATACGACGAGACAATCGCCACAGATTTTTCTTCTTAACGACTTTGACGAATGAAGTCGAAGGTTTCCCGCTAATAATTTTTAAAACAAGAAAAGTTTGAAGAGAACATTTTTTTCTATAATCTGTTCAACAACAACAAAAAAATATATTCACTTGCACAGGATAAGGGCCCACCATAGATTTCAAAGAGAAGTTATATAAAACTCACAAATAAAAGTGAAAAGCTAATTTTCTTTTTGAAGTTCAGCGAAAGTATGAAATATGCAAAATTGAAATTTATTTCGTTTAACTTATTATCTTGACAGAACATTTTGATCAACATAAAAGACTCGCTTTCCATTTACAAACGATATATTTTAAAACTCTTTAATGGAAAAAAAACATAATAATTGCAGATACAAAAGCTTGACAGGGGCCGGAAAGGGGTTAACGGGTAGACAAGCTGGAAAACGAAGAAGTGAAAAATCCGAATAAAATATGGGAGAATGGAAAGAATTTAATGTCAGGAATTCAGAAGAATAGTAAGAAGCGTTAAGAATATATAAAACGCTGAACAAAAGAAAAAAACGGTGATGGAAAAACAATCGAGAAATATATGGAAAACTGAAAGGGTTCATTTACAAACATCACGAAATCGAGAAAAATGTATCATCGTAAATATTGTTTAATACACCAGATTAAGTCGACAATTTGGATAATTTATGGAATTAGGAAAACAATTAATCTCAGAAATGAATGGAAATGAGAAAACGCTGATGAATATCCGGCCAAGACGAAAACAAAAAGAATTTTTTATGAAAATAGTTTAATTCAAATGATTTTTGTATCACTGGAATTTTGGCCCAACGATTGATTGTAAATAAAATTTTTGAATAAAACTACAAATTTGGACTGAAAATTAAACTGCGAGAGTAATATTAAGTGGGAAGTATTTGAATGCTATTCCCCACTAAAATCTCCAATCTGGTTTCGGAAAAAAAGTCATTCTCACGAATAACAATGGAAGTTATCGCTGTAACTATAACTCAAGTTTCAAAAGATCAAATCCTCAGGCATTGTTATATTTTAGGAGAGAGCAGTAGATGATGGCGTGATGGTTAGAACGAATTCAATGAATTAGTTATCAAATTCTGGCTTAAACTTCTTATGTTCCCTTCACATTAACGTCTTTGAAAAAGAATTAATGAGCATCCCTATACTTTGATCTATTGTAAGGGAATGTGAGAAAATGTCACATCACTAACAGATCACAATAATTAATGTACAAAATAGCGGTTGAGTCAGAACTTGGATAAAATAATTCCCCATAGTAACCTAAGCTGTCCGAAAAGAGAAGTAAAACCCTATTCCTTAGAAGTGTTATAAAAGTTAATCAGTTTTTCTCATTAGTTCTGACAAAGTCTTTCTACTTGATTTTTAGTGCATATCTACGCTAAAATAATGAGCAATGCCTTTCAATAAAGTAATTATAAGCAGAAAAAAATAAAGAAGCAATCTCTCACAAGATTGAAACTAATGTCTTATAACACGACAGCGCGTCTAACATGGGCGTTGTTTTTACCGACTTGGCCACACTGGTTTTATCACTGGACGAAGCGAAAGCTACAGTTATATAGCGCCACATATCCATTTCTTTCCATCACATATTGTCTTTTAATTATCTTGAAGCAAGAATTTTAAATTACCTGAATACTTAAATGATGTATTCTCGTTAAATTTCTTTCTTGGCAGAACCCAAAGAAAAATCTGCAATATTATCAGTCCTGATCTGGCGTCTCGGCTTCAGTAACTGTCCTACATCCGAAACGTATCTTCCCTTTGCCTTTCGTATAAATACTTTCGCCTTAATGAGCTTTCTTCTTCGGAACCTTGATTTTACGAATTTAAGTGCAATACTAGATCGGTAGTTAGGTCCCATTATTTGGAAGTTGAAATTGCACTTCTGTCATGTGGAACTCTCTTCCATTTTCTTATTTTCTTGTCAATTATAATCTTCAATAATCTTAATCTCAGGGACACATGGCTCGGTGGATAAAAGCGTTGGTTAGATCCATTGCCCCAAAGAGCTGTGAGTTCAGTGTCTGGCTACTATATTGGCGAAAAACACTTCGAGAGTTTAGTTAAAGGGAGAAAACTTAGACATCCGGAAGAGGCATGACACGTGGAAGTAGAACATTCTACCCCGGTTGACGAAATAAAGGGTTCAGTTCGAAATTCCTATCTCCTAAAGAAAGCCGGAACGTAAAGCGGCCGAAACGTCGTGAATATGGCAATAAAGATGAGGACCACAATCCGAAAAATGCAAATAATTACAATAATTCATCTCAGAAACAAAAACGGATAATTATATAAATGCAACATTAATCTTCTGTCACCTTGAATCCTGTTCTTTTAGTGTTGTGAACTTTTCTCAGTTTCTTCCACTCTCTGAAATCCCTTGTATCTTAGTGGCTTTATCGCCTTGCCTCGGATGAAATGATTTGTTTTTAAAATTATAATACTTTTTTGTTTCGTCTTCTTTTTGCTTATATCACACAGCACACTCTAGGACGACGCATTGTATGACGGGTTAAATATGAAACATACACACATCGGAAATAAAGAGTTCACTGCCAACTAAATAAGGAATGTGATTTTCAAGTCTTGCCGGAGAGTAAATAAAAAGGGCGGTTGCTTAAGAATAACCGGTGGGGTCGGAGTTTGGAATATCATCCACTAGTACTAGTGGGAAATATGGAACTATGGTTATATTTACTAAAGAGCCAGTGGAAGAAGATTATTTTATCAGTCTTCAAACTGGGAGGTCGGCCTGATTTGAGAGCCAATATCTAAGATTGTTACCTTTTATTTAGGCTTGAAAAATGACCACTTTCACCGTTGATAAATAAGTGACGCGTGCGAATTTGCTTCGCAGTAATGTGATAAAAAAACTTGGTTTCATTTTGAGATATCACACACATACACGCATGTGTGGGTGTGTGCGTATGAATATTAGAACATCTTTTGCCACAGATTCTACCCCGTCAGTACATGTACCATTCGTCCTTGCATTGAATCTGATCTGGGGCTCCCGCTGTACATCTGGATATTCTTGAGAAAATCCGGAAAAGGATCTGTAATGTAATCGATCCTGACCAAACAGCTCGTCTTCAGTCATTTTCACACTGACATGACGTGGCTTCCCTCTGTCTTTTCTACAATATTTTCTCTAATGAGATTTTTTCCCTGGTTCCCTGACTACATGAATTTAAAACTGCTACTTGTTTGGCAATTAGGTCTCACCGTTTTACTTTGAAATTGCTAAATACAACCGCCAATTCTACTCCAACAGTTTCTTTTCTCGCACTTCCCACCTATGGAACTCCTTTCGGTTTTCTTGCTTCTCTGATAACTACAATCTTCAAAAATGTAAATGCATCGTCAGTCGCCATCTTCTATTTTCTTGAATCCCGTTCATTTTTGTCCTAATCTCAATCATTGATATTCTCAGTTTTCTCATTCTCTTTCACTTTCATTACCTGAAACCCCCTACGTATTACATAGAGGTATTACCGCTTTGCTTCAGGTGAAATGATTTTAGAAAAACTGTAGCATCTCCAAGGAACTGGGAAATATTTTGTTATGTCTTGTCCAGCTCATGTAAAACAACAAATCCAAGCTAAAAGGCCTGTTGTCTTGTATCCACGCTCGTCACACAAATGTGTGCGTGAATTAAAAATCTGGCAATTATTTGTAAATTGTTATATGTATGTCGACTATATTGTTAGTTTATATTTGAAATGCAAAAGGGCAATGTGACAAGAACTATATTCAAGACTAGAGTTTAAAGACAATAATTTAAGAAACATTTACATTCTATCAACGGGCGTTGTTTAGATTCTGATTCACTTTGCTGGAGTCGGGGTGTAGATTTACCCCAAAATAATTGAATGCGGCAAACACAATTATATTTGGGTTTTTGTTTTTCAACTCTATAGTTAAAGAAAGTTATTAAATTAAACACTTGACATAAAATAGAGTTACCTACTAACATGCTTTCTGTCATCATTTTTCGGTTCCCATCTCAACAAAACCTTCCCGCTTTTTTTTTTCCTTCTTTCTCATTTATTCTCCCCGGCATTCTTTTTCTGGCCTCTTTCATATAGAATGTAAATGTTTCTGGTTTGTTAAACGCAATTTCCGCAATTCTGTCTTAAACGAGGTAATTATTAAACGCTTTATCACAAAGTATTGCCATTTCTAAACCTCTTTTAGTCACTGCTGGAACGAATGTTCATCCACATTGGTCACTCAAGATTTATTGCCTTGTGCTAGACTAGTTTACGCTTTTTAAATACCAATCTCCTT